ATCTGACCAATCATACTGTTTTAAACAGTTCAGTTCGTCGCCGCACGAGGGCGTCACAAACTGTACTCAATCTGTCAACCAATCCCAAAAGGATATGCAAATTAATCATCGTTACTTCTCGCCACTAGAGGGCGTCAGTTCATGCTCTCAGTCAACCAGCCAATCATATTCTCGTATGCAAAAACGTGAGCATTTAACATCGCCGCGAGAGGTCGACGTTTCATGCTCTGGTACTCTCGACCAATCACAGCACAGTATGCAAATGAGATACGCTAAACCAAAAGTTTTGGCTCAAACTCATTGTCCCCGACCTTACAACTTAGAAATCAGTTACGATATGGATACTTCAAATAATCTCTCTCAAAATACTACTCTTAACTCTACTCTAAATAACTCTACTAATACTGTTGACTTTGTAAATACTACGGTTGAACAAACAAATCTCCTTAATTTTGTCGAGAACTTTTCTACAAGTTCCCCTAACTTTCGCACCTCCAGTCAAATAAGACCTAAGATGTCTACAATTCGCCCTCTGGATCGCCCGAGCCGTATTGATCAAATACGTTCCCGGAACATTGCCCGACTGAGACATTCTCGAGAACGATTCGTGGTCACTAGAGGACAGACTACGCAAAAGGCCCTCACTCAGTTCCTGGATAAGTGTCGGAGGCAGCGGTTGACAAGGCGGGCCAGAAGAGGAAATGTACTTCGAATGGGGATTAATGCTATCAACAACCACAAACCGCTAGTTACTCAGGACAAGAAGAAGGTGGTCGGATTGCCAGGACTATTTGATGTGGATCTGCTGGGAGAACTGACAGGGGAAGACCCGTTCCTCGGACCGATGAGGACTGCAATAATTAATAAGGATGTACAATCCTTTAACAAACTGGGGACCTACATGGCCCAATTCTGGACAAAAGCGGCGGTAGTAAACAACTGTATACTGATAGACAACAAACTAGCCATTCCCGAACAGTTACGTAGTGCTATCCTGACCCGACTGCATCGATCGCACCCAGGCCAAGCAGCCATGATGGACGCATCGGAATATATTTGGTGGCCATTTCTTAACCGCCAAATTGTCAACGTTTGCGAAAAGTGCCCGGAGTGTACTCTTTTTGGTAAGAACATCAAAACTTCTGCGACCTATAACTCAGCTAAGCCGTTACCAACTTTGTCAGCCCCGAATCAAGAATTGCAACTTGATTTCGCGGGTCCGTTGGTAGATGATAAGAAGGGGAAAATCTACATTTTAGTCGCTATAGATCGTTTTTCTAAATTTCCCTCGGTGATGTTAACTAAATCAACCAGTGCGAAAAAAATAGTCAAATTTTTGCGATCATATATTCGTAATCATGGCATACCAGAAAGCATTAGGACGGATCACGGATCTGGTTTTCATTCTGACGTCGTTAAAGAATTTTGCAAAATGAGAGGTATTAAACACATCCTCACAGCGGTGGGGGATCATCGGAGTTGTGGGCTGGTGGAGAGATCGATCCAGACCATAAAACGGAAGTTAGGAACAGAAAATTTAGATCCTAATTTTACTAATCTGAAGTCAACTTTACAACAAATTATCGACGATATTCGAAAAACTAAGCATTCTACGTTAAAAGTATCTCCGTTTGAGTTACACTTTGGGAGGAAACCTAATACTGAGTTTTCATTAGCACGTGATAATGTTGTTCATTCCCCTACTTCAGCGCAAGGACTTGAAAGGAACCTCCTAATTCCGGAGCAACGGTCAAGCCAGGATTACAGCCGCGATAGGGCTAAAGTGGTACCCAGAGGATCCTCACACAGCCCAGAAATCCCACTTAAGTTCAAGCCACTCTTTGGCGTGGGTGAGCGTATCGCGGATAGTCAACCGTATAAAGCCCTGGAGAACCTTGCAAAAGCAGCTAACACCTGGAAGCAGTGGAAACGAAATGTGCCCCCACAGCAAGGCCAGAATCTTCTCCGTGAATTGGCGGCTCGTAATAGCGACCTTGCAAACTCGCTCAAGACAGGGATCACAAAGGGAACCCTACGCTTCTACGACAACGCCCGTGATACGTCAGCTCCAGCACTCTCGCATTCACAGAGATTGAACGTGTCGTCCTCTTCGAGGCCTAAAAGACTCTCAAAAACACGTAAATTAGAAAAATTAGTTTTACAAGATCCTCTAAGAGTCAAAATCTTTCGGAAAGTCCTTGATCGAAATTCGGGAAAGCCTCTGTTCAAATTAGCAAAAATCAAGATTACTCGTGTTACGGATCATACTTACATTACCGACAAAGGAAAAGTTTATCGGAAAAATCACATAAGCCTAAGACATAATTTTAATCTCCCTAAGATTTCAGCTACGCCTGGCACAGTGGGAGAACGTTTGCAACGACGAATTGCTCCTCGGCCTCAATCTCAACCAGCTACCACTTCAGCTACAAGGCAGTCAATTGAACCTTCAAAGGGTAAGGTGATTGACTTAACAGCAGAGTCGTCGAGCGAGGACTCATTGATCACTGGCCCCCAGCTCGAATTAGTGGAGGCACCGGTTTCAACGCCTCAAGGATTGGCTCCCGTGATCGCTACTTCAACCACTCCGATTGTCGATCCTTCAACTCACCCTGGCTTAACATCTACTTCAGGGGCGGTAACACCACCCCAGGATCTGCAGCAGACTTCAGACAAGGTCCCTCAGACTGCGACAGAGGATTCTGCAAATACTGGCAACACGGAGGTTGACAATCATACCTCTCAATCTTCAAGCGAGTTTCGGTCATCTAATCGGTCTAAGAAACCAACGAGGTTTTACGGAGATCCTCTTCGCCATTCAGTTAAGAGTGTAACTGAATCGGACCCTGCGGAGTTTTCGTCACAACGACACAACGCTGATCAAACTGCTACGCCACTCGCCAGCCAAGTTACTACGCCATTCACCCCCATTGTTCGGAAAGTGCCGTTTCCTAGGACTAAGGAGCAAACTACTCCGTTTAAGAAAACGAGAACGGAAGAGCATGATAAACTTTAAAAACTTTGTAAACTCTGCCATACTAGCCTATTGACTAGGTTATCTCTGACCCATTCCGGTGCTTATTTTCTCTCATCTTCCTGCCTGATCCAAAATTTATACTAAGATAAATTTTTTTCTAGAGGGGGAAGTGTCATGAGGCGACCTTCGGTACCTCATTATATTCTATTTACTTATGTATTGTCTTATCTAACTATATCTTATTTATTTACTTATAGTGCAGTAAATTGATTCAAGGACAAATCTCACCAGCCAATTCGTTTGTCACTTGAGTTTTGGAAGCGGTCACTCGCGAGAGCCTTAAGTGTGAATTCAAGTCAGAAAACATTATACCTTTAAAACTATACATTCAATTCTGGATTCGATAATCATTTATTCGTTACTTTATCCTATCTATATATTTATCATATCTAATTCAATATCTGGATTTTATAACATCTTTTTCCCTACTCAAACTGAGGGAAATCTCAAGGAGGAGACCGAAATTGGTTATTACGGGCGAGTGCGATAATGCTCAATTGGTCCAAAACTTTTATAGCAAATCAAAATTGCCAAAAACTCTAGTCAAATTCAAACGACTTGCGATTTGTTATACGCATATAAAAAAAGTCTTACCTAAAATAAGTTGAGTGCATTTTGAAAAATTTCAGTTTTTTTTTTTTACAAATTAGGCTGTTTTTTTTTTAAATTATTGATTGTTTTTAATTCCGCTTATAGAGCACAATATTTATTGAGCAGGAGATCCGATAGAGCAGAATTTCAGTCATACGGCAGAATTTGTTAATTTTTCTCAAAAGAGAATTTCCATAGAGCAGAAAAAATTAGAAAATTTTTTCTATGAAGCAGCAGAATTTGCTCTACACGGCTGCTGAACTTTTTGGGGCCTGAATATTTGATGTGCGTTAAATTTGAAATTGCCCCAATTATTTCTCTCCTAGCTCAAAAACTACTGTCCGCGTTTTGTGTTCATGCAGTTTTTGTTCTCATCACGCCGTTGAGGTAAATTTTCCGATTCGGGTGCAAGCAAGACTCTCAAAACCGGATACTGCAAATAAACTCCAGATGGAATTAAAGTCAAGCAAGAATCGACATCTCCAAAACTGAAAACTTCTACTTTTAGAGCAAAAAAGAAAGAGTGGATAAAACGGAGCCATTTTTCCTCATTAAAATTAAGTAACTTGTTACGCTCATTCTAGTGAGAGTGTTGTAAAACTTTTAGTAGAATTATACGAAACAATTTGAAAATCTTTTAAATCTCTCATGTACCAACCTTCATCTCAATAAATTCAAAAAAATTACAAAAAGTTTTTAAAAAAAATTTCGAAATTGCTCATTTTTTTAATCGTTTTTTTTAGCGTGTTCGGAACATTCTGTTTTATTTGTGCAGCAGCCAGCCATTCTTAAATAAACTTCAACATTTTATTTTCATTTAACATTTTTCATGAGCATGAAAAAGAAACTGAAGTGAGCTCTCCCAAAAGACTATGAGGGCAATATTTCGACACTACGACGACATTTTGAGCCTTTTGGAAGGTTATGGCCAAAAATAAGCGTTTTTTAGGCTCAAGCTCTCCCTCAAAATAAAGTGTATTGGCGCCTAAGGTGTCCATAGAAAAATTTTAGGGTCTCCAAAAATTCCTCCTGTCATAAATTAATGTCAAAAAGATGGTACCTTTTGGGTAGGCAGAATGTCAAAACCCAAAGGCCCTCCCCCTTCAATTCTGCTACTATTTATAATTGAACCCGATTTTGAAGTTGTTCCAAATTTAAAAATTAAACCTAAAAGATAAATTCCGCATTTTAGTAGGCTGACGTGTTTTTTCTCAACATAATTCTTCTGTACTCATTCTCATTACCCTTATATTGAAATTTTCCTCGATACATTCTGAAATAAAAGTACAATGATTTTAAAAAAGGGTCTTTTCATAGCGCGAACTAAATGACCAAATCCAAAAAGTATACAAAATGTTTTCCGTTGTTTCAGATCTCTTCAATTCTTTGTTCAGCCGTTTCAGAGCAGACGGGTCGAACAAAATAACTGGTGCAGAATAGATTTCTGATTCAAAGAAAGGATTTCGCGATTGTTCAAGAGACATTTAACAGACCAGCTAGTAGATGACTGATTTGTATTTATGGCGTTTTTGAACGAAGTCGTGTACTTATATAAATCATGGAGTAATGAAGAAAAAAAAGAGTGAAGATTCGATTGTTCAGCTCAGACACTGAATATGTAATAACACAAATGATGTTTCGATTATAATGACTATCTTTTTATACAGTCTTTCTTATCCACAATGAGGTTTTTGAGGAGAATAAGGAGATTTTTGCTGAGCTCTGTGGTTTTTGTTTTGTGTGGCGCTCGCTTTATTCAAGATTTCTTAAAAAGCTGACTGCTTTGGCTTTTGTTCCGTGCAGCGGGAAGACTGAAAAGAACTCTGAAAAGAGCCCTGTTTTATGTGCTATGGCTCTTGTTAGACCTTATTGAGCGGCGACTGTGTTTTTGAATGGTGTTTTCAGAGAATGAAAGGCTGTGCTGCTGCTGCTGCTGCTGCTGCTGTGCTTCTTCTATTGCATAATGATGGATTGAGACAGGAGATTTGATTTGAATAAAAGAACAGGAATCAAATTGGTACTTGCAACATAAAGGATCTCTTTATGCGAGCTAACTCACGGATGGTCCGTATTGTTCCTCCATTGAGATGATAGTTGAATGCGATGTATTCTTCGCCACTGATGTATTGCTGAATTTTATTCATACAAAACAATAGACCCGTGTAATGTGTGCTTTGTTCACACAATCTCCTGAATCTCTTGATGGTCTTACCAGTCTTATACGTGCCGTGTGTGTAGTCCAACCTTCACATTTCAGCCTCAATCTCCAAATCATTTTTCAATCGCAACTTACTCCGCGTTTGAGTTGCACACCTCACAAAACAATAGTGCTCTACGCTACGCAACATTACCGTAACACCATAACTACTATGGCCACAAACTGAGAGAGACACTTGCGACTTTAACGGTATGACCTTTACCATAACTGATTATGGCCTATTCGCTATGGTCTAGAGTTGTATCAAGCTTCCGAGGTCATGAGACTGTCTGGGTTATTCTGACGTCATTATGCTCAAATTACAACATATGGTCAATAAAATATTCGGGGGAGGTGGGAGGTGGTGGGGGGGGGGGGGGGGAGGAGAGTAAATTTTCCTTGTCAGTGGACATTAACCAAATAGGAGGTAACAAAACTCACCTCAGCACCGGATTTCTGATTCTCATTGATAGAAATACGATCTTACTCACAATTACGAATATCACAATCATTCTATTATTACGTCACGTCAGTGGTATCCAAACGGTATTCTTACATCAGTTCGCGCTATTCCTCTTTCTTGCTTCCAGTTAAATTAACAATTTTTTTTGACAACTAGACTGTTAATTGTTATAAAATTAATTGTTACTTGACAAGATGCCTAAGATGATTGAACTTGAACTCGGCTGCCAGAACTCAATACATTCGAAATTATGGGATATTTTAGTCGATCTGACATTGTATTAAACGTCAATGGTGGAGTTTATTTATTCTTGGAGAATGTAGGATACTTCAATTTTGGATCCAAGAGACGCAACTGAACAAAAGTGGTACAATTTCCTTTAAAGTTGCCGATGACTCGGAACCAGAAGGCATCAAAGAGCTTTTTAGGTGAGTTTCTATTTGTTTTAACAAATAATCCATTGAATTGATTGCAGCAACTATCGTCTGTGTATATTTGCTTTTATTCGTAGCTAAATGCAAAAGCTGTTTTGAGTTTTTCCGCGAGTTGAGGGACTGTTTTTCAAAATGTTTCCCGGAAACGAAAACGTACGGAACTTAATGTAATCTCATACTAAATTGATTTTGAAGATGTTAAATAGGTGAGCTAATCTGCTTGTAGCGAAATTGGGGGAAAATTTGTTTATGTTAAAATTTGCTCTAATGCTGTGAGCGGGAATCGTTATAATTGTTACCGTGGCGAAGGTGTGGGGGCTGGATGATGACTTTTCGCTTTCCCCACTTCTGGTAGCCACAACCCAATATTTTCCCAAAAATTGTCTGCATTTTTTTAAAGCATACCAAATTTAAAATTTATTGGTGCTAGAGGTACCTAAGACGACAAGACATTTAGGCGACATGACATTAAAACGACAGGACATTAAGACGACATATGAAAGTTAAAACATGTAAATTGAACTGTTAGAATTTGAGCGAGTTATATTGCTCCAAAACGCAATTGGAGAACTTGTGTGTGGCGTCGTCAGAAGAAATTAATTTTCATAATTTCTCCCAAACTTACTACAACCCAAACCACTCCAACCCCCCCCCCCCCCCTCCATACTTTCTATACCATATTCGCTATCTATAAGAAAAGAACATCTCGATGCACGCCAGCTTTCAAATTTTATCTGTCGATTCGAGCATCTTTTGACGAATTGTTGTCATCTCGACAAATAGTTAAAGTCAACCCAAAATCTTGGAATCTTTATTACCTGTTTTGTTTGTATAAGCGGAATACGATCAATTTTCAGACCCGATCATCGTTAACTAAGTTATTTGCAGAGTGATTAAGTTAATTAGCGCTAAGCTTGGGATTGCTCTTAGCTCTTTCCAATTAGGCGTCGCGACTTCCTAAATTACTCTGCTCCATCTACTAGCTAGAGATTTTTTAGCAGAGCCGGAGTTCTGGAATTGAGATTTAGTCTATGACAAATCAAAATCGATGCCAGCTCTAGATAACAGCCAATTTGACAAAATAATTGCGCCTAATAAGTCCGTAATTAGCATCCGTATTCTCCAATGTTGTTTTCCTAACACTAATATAGCTTGTTGATTTCGCAACTTTCGAGCATTTTTGACTTTTGTCTTAGTCAAATCAAAGTTGATTAGGAACAAATCAAAACATAGCGTAGGAACCAGGTATTTTTGGTTATGTATGAGTTATATAATAATAACCGCTAGTTATATGGTTTATGACCTGAGAGATTCGATGTACTATAAGAACCATGTACCTATAGATGTTTGCAGAGTGGTTTGCTGAGCTAATCTTGTGGCGAAATTGGGGGAAAGTTTGTTTAAGTTAAAGTTTGCTCTGAAAGCTGTGAGCGGGAATCGTGATAATTGTTACCGTGGCGAAGGTGTGGGGGCTGGATGATGACTTTTCGCTTTCCCCACTTCTGGTAGCCAAAACCCAATATTTTCCCAAAAATTGTCTGCATTTTTTTAAGCATACCAAATTTAAAATTTATTGGTGCTAGAGGTACCTAAGACGAAAAGACATTTAGGCGACATGACATTCAGAAGACATGCCATTAAGACGACATATGAAAGTTAAAACATGTAAATGAACTGTTCGAATTTGAGCGAGTTATTTTGCTCCAAAACGCAATTGGAGAACTTGTGTGTGGCGTCGTCTTAAAGTTGGTCTTAAAAGCTGGTTGTCGTCTTAACAGCTTCAACAGCTCTCGTCTGATTTGTTGGACAGCAATTATGTTAAATATGGCCATTCTGGAGTTTCGACCGAGCTACAGCACTCCTCGTCTAAAATTTTTCTGCACGTAATAATGCTGATGTTGTGAAATATGCAAAAAACGTCAGAGGTTGGGCAAAACAAATGGGACTTCGAAAATTGATTCTGCGTCGGCCAGTAGCTGGTTTGAGACCTATAAGAATCTAAAGGGAGGGGGAGGAAGATAATAAACCATTGGGGGGGGGGGCAAGAGTGCAACATTGAGTAACGGTTGAAGGGATCTCCTCGGGGATAATCGTTACTATGGGTACAAAATTCACATATATGCTTACCCATTGAATTATTTCCTTGTAGGGGTGGCAATTTGTTACAAGATACTCTAGGGGCGGGGGATCCTTAAACTATTCCGGGGTATCTTTAACTATTACCCCCTTTGGTACCTAGCAACGAATCGCCCCCCCCCCCTTTGCAAGAGTGGTGGGTTGTTAAAGAGATTCCGTTAGAGTTAACTAGATGAAAAAACGCAAAACTAGACTTGAATATTGTAAAATTTTGGTTATAATCTATCACAGCTTTTATTTTAAAATATCAAAGCAATTTAAATTTGGCAAAAAATGACGAAAACTTTGATAGAAAAATCGTAGAAAAGTGTTGGTTTAATTATATTACATGATCGGTTCGGTATTATAGATGACACTACACGTTGAAAAGAGATGATTTTTCACATGCTGTCATGTTTTTGAGTTACAGCTTTGCTTTGATACTCAAAAAATACCTATGCTCCATGTTTTAAGCTCAAGCTGCTTTTCGATCTCGAAATGCATCAAAACAAAAACTTTCAAACAATATCATGATAATATTTTCGTTGGTTTTGCATGAATTTCAATTATGTTACTACAAAAAGGCATCGAATTTATCGTTGTTGAAGGGTAGTTTATCACAACTTACTTTCGTTAATATTTTGGTAAGATGTTTGTAATTTTTGAGCTTTTGTTTTTTTTCAACAGGTATAATAACAGCTAAAAGTTCATTTGGTGGTAAATGTGTTTTTCACTATTTTTCAATATCTCTTGTAAATCAATCATCATAAACTTATCTTGAAGAGTTCACCGACTTTTATGCTTGTTGACATCACAAGTTTTGTAATTTTTTGATAAGCACATGATCGAAAAATCGAAAAATAATTCAATAATTTTTACACCATAATAGTTTTTAATAATATAACATACTACAACAATTACAAGTTTAATCTCATATTTATTAACGTATTTTTTGCATATTACCGAAAAAATGATTTTTGGTTGTTTTATGAGTTGATAGTGGTACTATATATGATTTGTGATGTTTGACTATATGGTATGAATATTTTTGTTTAGCGTTTAACCAAGTATAAAACGAAACTAAGCGGTTAAAGAATATATGTAAATCAGTTAATTAGTCAGTTGGTGATTACTGTTCAATAATCAATTAATTGCTGTTCTGTTTATAGTCAACCAAGCATATATTTGGTTGGCCCCTTTTTTCTAAAAACCGTGTAAATTACATTCGCTCAATAGAATTTCTCGCCTCAATTATTAAGTGCCCCTTTTCATTTTTTTGTTTAACCGTGCAAAAAAATTAAGAACAATCATCGAAAAAAACAATAAAAAGATATTTCCTTAGAAAAGAATCAAATTGGAAGAATTGAATACCATCGTCATCTTTTATTTTCTGCGATCCTTTGTTTCGAGAACAAAAAATATTAGGGACTACTTTTTCGATTCCTATAAATTAATACTTTCTTTATTTTGCTCAATTCCCTGCTCAATTATTTTATTATTGTATGCCAAATATTTGAAATAGAGGAAAAAATATCGATACAGAGCTACCACCAATAGAAATCTTTTTTGAGGGGAACATTCAAGAGTGCTTCCTCTCATTTCAGTCTTTTATTGATTCCGCTCCCATTAAATATCAATTCACAGACACTTTTTACTTCCCATGCTCGCTTCCTATTGGCTAATCCCCTTCGCAAATAACATCGGAGCAAGTGCCTACAAATTCAAAAAACTATTTCTCACCTCATCCAAACATAAATCTACTTCACTCTTAGAAAAAAGATCCCAAAATTATTGCAAAATTGAATTATTCGTTTCGCTTTGAAATTTAATTTCCAGTTTTCTTTTATCTAACTGAAAAATCTTGTCATTTTTCTCAATTTTTGATTTTCCCGATAAATTGCTTTTCACATCTGGTCAGTAGTTAATCAAAAGCAATAACTAAACGTTTAATCCCAATTCTAAACGCAGACATTATTGCTTCAAGCTATTTGAGTATAAAGCTTGAAAAAAGTGCGCAAAATGATGTCCATGGACTATGGACCGAATGCAGGTCACCCAGTGCAAGTACATCAGGGCCATAATCATATCCATAACCAGGTCATGGCCAATCATGGTCAAATGGGAGTTCAACCAAACCACGACTGCTACGATGACGAAGAAGATGACCAGGGTCTCAGATCCCCACTGAGTGACGAGGAACCCGAAAACGTGGATGACATTTCACAACAACAACAACAACAACAACAACAGCAAGGAAACAACAACCCACAAAACACCCAAAATACGAACAACAACAACTCCCAAAGCGGGAATGGAAAAAGTAATTCTTCAGCTAACGACAGAGTGAAACGACCGATGAATGCTTTCATGGTATGGTCACGAGGGCAGAGAAGAAAAATGGCACAAGAGAACCCAAAAATGCACAACTCCGAAATCAGCAAAAGACTCGGGGCCGAATGGAAACTTTTAACCGAGGCTGAAAAAAGACCTTTTATCGACGAGGCTAAACGACTAAGAGCTGTTCATCTCAAAGAACACCCCGACTACAAGTACAGACCGCGAAGGAAAACGAAGACGTTGATGAAACGAGACAAATTCGGCCACGTCGGGTTGCCCGGAAGCATAATAGGACCGAACGGCGCTCCCCCGGTGCAGAGAACAGTGGCTCAGGGAATCGATCCGTACGCTCATATGAACGGATATATGTCAAACGCAGCCGCCGCCCACTACATGATGCCGGACCATCTTGCGATGCACGCCGCATACGGGCAACACCCTGGGCTCCCGCCATCGCCCCCGAACGGACTCGGAAACCCGAATCATTTCCAGTCACGGTACGACCAGATGGCGGCCTCATTGTACTTGCAACCCCCGAATGCAGTCTCAGCAGCGCAGGTAGCCGCTTCGAATTACTCGAACCCAGTTTCAGTTCACGCAGGGTATGGTTCAATGTACAATCAACACGTCGCCTCAAATAACGCGGCCGCAGCTGCGATTCATCACCCCCACCATATTCAGCAAGTATCCCCCGTTTCTCTGAAGTTAGAACACAACTCCCCGACATCTGCGAACCCCCACCAACAGCAAACATCGCCGAACGACTGGCAACGAGCGGCAGCGGCGGCCGCAGCAGCGGGTAAGATGAACTACCCCGGAGCCGAGTTGCGAGATATGATCTCGATGTACCTTCCGCCCGGCGCCGATGCCTCCGCCGTGGATCAACAACGACAGCTTTTGACCGCTCATTTACAGCAACAACAACAGCAGCAGCAACAACAACAAAATCAACAACAACAACCTCAGCATCATCTGCAACAACAACAACCCGGAAACCCCGCGGCGAGTGCCGCGCATCACTACATGCATCATATGAACCCCCACGGCCCGGCGCCTCTGCCGTTGGCGCACATGTAAATTGAAAAATATCTACTAACATATTAAATCCTGCCAACGCGCCCTGAACCGACGCAAGGAACAACGAACGGCGAAACAGGATCCGATTCGGCTTCAAGGTGGACACCACGTGTCGGAGAAGAGCGACGTAGCTTGAAGTCGGCTCGGCAGACGAGGGGTGATCGGATTCTGATCTCGAAGCAGTGCCTCAACTCAAAGATAATAATGCAATGTAATAAACTCTGTTGAAAAACTCTTTCTTTCTCCTGCTCAATTCGATTAGCCCGCAGTTATATCATTTTTTAAAGAATTATTTCATGGTTTATGTTTTTAGTTTTCTATGATAGAAAAATAAAACTTCCAAATCAAACTTTCTTAAACAATTGAGATCCTTTTCCAGGTTAAAAAGTTATTCGGGTATGTGATGCAAGCTTAGTTTTGGATTTTTATTTGAAGCGCAAACTTAATTTTGGGTTAGTTTTGGCATACTTTTTGCACGTTTTTGGTGCCCGAGCAATGTTTTTTTTTCATTTTGAAACTGTTTGATTTCTGATTTTTATCAGATAAAACAATGTGACAAAAACAGCAGGAAAATAAAAACTGAAAAAAAAAAATTAAAATCAAAAACCAGAAAATTAAGAAAAAAAAACGTTTTTGACTTCAAGAAATGTTTAAGCAATACTTGCCGCTCTATTTTTTTCGCATTCTTGTTTAAATTTCTTATAATCCGAGAGATCTCTGAAGTTAACTCAGCTGAACCAAAATAATTTTTAGAATTTTTTTCGGTCTTCTTTTCAACTTCGATGGATTAGTGTTTAATTTAAAAGAAAATCAGGAAACAAAAAAAGTTGGTTTTCTTTTGAAATCAATCACCTCACGCGCTGCTCCAAGTGCAAAGCTACATATTTGATATATAGTAACATATTCATTAATAAAAAGCATGCCTCAAATCAACTTGGAACGGTTTCTTAGCCGGATGAAATCGCGTTAATAGCACGGAATATATGGCGCGCTAATTTTTGTAAATTGTCAGTCAGTAAACCCACATAACTTTACAAAAAAATTATCTTCAAAATGTTTCCATAAGTTTCTGCTCAAGACAACGAAACCTTTCGAATGATTTTTAAAATTTTGCCGAAAAAATGGCTAGTTAAAAAGCATAAAATGCTCCGGCGAAAATAAAACCACCCTGATCACAAATTCTCTGTCATTTACATCGAAAGTAGTCGGATGAAAAATTGTTTGAGAAAAATTACGGCAGGAATCAAATTCAAGATAAATTTTTTTTGATGAAAATGTATAATAGTTTCAGGTGATTGTGTCGAAGTTAGTTATAAGCTAACCTTTTGATTGTTTTTTTTTGAAATAATGAAATTGGTTTTTATAAAAGGCAAATAGTTAGAATTGGGTATGGTTTTGTATGGGTATTTAGATCAGTTTAAAATTTGTCCATTTCTGTTAGCATCGAGATTTCAAACGAAAAAAAAATCATTTACGAAGCTGAAGTTATTTGCTTTTTCTCATCAAAATATTCCTGCGTTCAAAGCATCTTTAGTTTTTCAGTGCTAAGAGTATGTCGTGAATCTTAAATGTTAAGGTCTTTGATCAATTTTCATCATAAAAGTCTTTACGGCTATAAGATAATCATTTTATTTTTCAACGTTGAAAACGCAAGCCGAAAGTCTTTGATTTAACTTATATTTTGCTGATAAAAAACTTCCACCACCCCTCTGTTAAAATTGACTGGTTTGATTTAGGTTCACTAAAGATTGCGATGCTTTTTAAGAGAAGTTTGGCCAAGACTTACTTTTGTGAATGGTTTAAAAAAATTATGATCAAGTTTGATAAATTCTGTTTAGATTTGTTTTTTCTTTTGAATTTTGATTTTTTTAACTAAATTTTGATTTTTTAAATTTATAATTCTCCAAAACATATCAAGTAAAATTTGAGTGCATTTGTCTGATCCTTCTTTGATAGAGCACTTTGATAAAATCTGTCTAAACAACCTCTGTTTCTGTTCCACCTTTCGAAGAAAGAGAGGAATTAAAATGCCTAGGTGATTTTTTTTATTCAGACCATGATTACAATATATATATTAATCCGGAAAACTTTGGATTGCCAAGCGGGTAAGTTTGAAGAAGGCAAAGGTGCTGTTGGCATCGCTGTTCGATTGATACTTTGATTGTTTATTCGAAGAGTTATGGTGGCTTAAAGATTGCCTATTTGGCCAATTGGGGACAATTACCGTGTGATATACTTCTTGCTACTAATGCGATAGCGGCAATTTAATCCGCCTAAATTAGTTTCAAATTGAAATCAGACATCGTGTAATCTGGAACTATTTATTATGCCGCTCACTTTTTAAGAGGATACAAACCAATGTACAAGAGAACCGAAAACAAATATAGCTCAACACTGCCAAAAAAAGAATTCAAAAACGGTTGTTACTCATCCGAAACCACTGATAAGTATCCTATTTCAAATTAATTGAAAAGAGAAGACAAAGTCGCCCAGTTTAATTGATAACGAGCGTTACAAAAACAAAAGTTTACGAAGCTGAGAAGAAATTTTGCTGAAAAAAAAATTAACTAGGCAATTGTCAAATGTTCGTCTCAATTTTGGTCCAAAACAAAGCGGTGTTCACAAAATCTTGCCAAAATTTCACAAAAAGAATTCTTATTTTTTAAAAAAATTTTGACGTTTTTAAACAAATTTTCAGTTACAGCACTGCTGTAATTTGGCAACGTTGAACATCCGGGAATTTTGTTTAAAATTCCGCCATACAGTTTCAATCACTTTGTACCCTCTAACCAATACCAAGGCAAGTTCAGTTGTCTTCTGAAGTTTTGAGCTGTGGCAAAAGCAATTATTTTTTCACACTTTGTGTTTTTCTGTAACCATCGACAGCATCTTGAATTTTTTCATATAAGACCGCAAAAACTGTCACCAACCATTGTTTTGTATTTTTGCGGTCACTAACCATCATATCATAATTAGCATTGAAAATTTTGTTCAAAAAATTCAATTTATTTTCCTGTGACATGAAAAGAAGATTGTTTTTTCTTTTTCTGTGGCCTAAACAGGTTTTTTGACGAAGGGATGAATTTCTCGGATCTTTTTTCTTTGACAACCGCCTTCATTGTTTGCGTTCTCATTAGACTCAAACATTATGATGGATGATCTACTAGGAGTAAGTTAACAGCCTCTAGGAATGTTCGTTCTCTAACAAGAACTGAAAATAAGCATACAATTTTGTGTCTCAAAAAATAAAAAATGATTGGTAACAAGATTAGACATTACATTAAAAAACACTAATGGAGTTTTCTTGAAAGGATTGAACTCGAAAATATACTACCGCTTTTGAGAAAAATTCTGTTCCTGAAAAGCGTTTTCATACATAATTTATTCAATAGGTTCAGCAGAAACTTTAACAGGTGTACAGGTGTTTGCAAATAAATTTTTTCTGTGCAAGTTGAATTGAAACTTGTGGCGCTATTTATTAAGTTTAAAGAGCAAGTAGCAAATATCGATTTAAAACTTTTACTTTTTTCTGTTCGTATCCATAATTTTCCGAGTCTTGTGCTTACTAACTTTGAACCTGGATTTTCATCAATTTTCATCAAAGTCGTTATCAGTTCGAACAGAAGTTTTGATAACAACTTATCAACCTATCATTTAATAGAACAGGTTAGCAACTTACAGAGCCACTGAATCCTTACTTAATTTATTTCTCACTTACCTTTTTTCTCACTACAAAAACGGAACAATTTTGATTTATTCCTGTTAATTTCAGTTTGATTTTGCATTAATTTGGTTGTTTTTTATTTATAAAATTAAACGGCTTACACAATTTTGACGTTTTTTGTATCGTCCACCAGAAGTAATTTTGGCTTGGTTACCACTTGATAAATTTCTCTAAATTCTCATTTGAATTAGAAATTGGGTGTCAAGACATTATTTCGTCAAATTTACCAACTATCGAGACAAAATAATTTAAAGTAGTTTTTTCAACTGGTAGGTTTCTTCTCACTTTTGGGCTGCTAGCTTGTGGGCTTCTAAGGAGAAACAGATAGATAGATAGATAGATGGATAGATAGATAGATAGATAGATAGATAGATAGATAGATAGATAGATAAATAGATAGATAGATAGAGTGATATATAGATATATATAGAAAGATAGATAGATAAATAGATAGATCGATAGATAGATAGATAGATAGAATGGCTTAAAATTCATAGATTTGCCAATACTTAATTTACCAAAAAATATTCGAAACAAATTAAAGGGCAGTCGGATCACTCAAGGCTTTGCCTTGATACTAGCAGTATTTTTACAGGAGTTTACTATATCCAAAAAGGATTTTCTGAATTTGCTTGGAAAAATGCTTTGATGAACACGATAATTATTAACGATAATTATTAACGATAATTATTAACTAAATATCTTTAGTATATAACTGTCTTGCAATTCATTCCACTTTGTACGTAACGTACTCAACAAATTTTGAAGTTAATTATAATCTAATAATTTGAAATAAAACATGGCTAACTTTATCAGAGCGAATTGATGAAGTAATCGCAAAACTTTTTATATATATTTTTTCGTTTTTAAAAACCTTTTGATCTCCTTCTTGCCCCTCACATGCTATGAATATGCATACTTTGAATCTGCTATCATTATAAAAAAAACTATCCAGCTTGTAATCTGGAACTATTTATTATGCCGCTCACGTTTTAAGAGGACACAAACCATTGCACGTTTCTTAACCCAAATTGACCAAACTGGAAGGTTGCAATATCTCAGATAATGGCACCAGGTAAAATATATATAACTTTTAAAATTTGAACTCAGGGGTTCAGTACGATTCAGATGATAATGAAAACAAAAAAAATGGATAGTTAGAACTTCAAAGTTTGTCTGGAGAAAAAATAATACCGAGCCCAAAACATTTTATTATTTATTGACTTATTGTCTTCGAAAGTCAGAACAAAAAATTCAATTTTTCTACTAGGTTCAAAACCTTAAATTATTTCGAATCAATTTAATTTTTGTTTCAGGAGTCAACGCAATTTTGGCTCAAAAATTGAAGAATGACAAGAAATCTGCATATCGAAAAACAAGAAGACGAAGAAACAGGAAAAGATAAATGAGAGCCGACATTATTGTAACGTCTTAGCTGGCAACAAACATTATTGCTGGTGCTTTACCTATTTTTCAAAATTGTTGTAATTAATATCTTATTTTGCCCCGGTTGACCGAGTGAGACATAAGTGATTGTACAAGTCCTTAAATATGCCTAAATTTGTTATTTTTTTGTGCATTTCCATTCCCACCTTATCTTGAACTA